ATAGCCGTATCTTAGGATTGGAACAAGGAACAGGTCTGAAACTTTTACAATAAACCACTCTCGTTGAGATCTCTCTCTCTATACAAAGTTTCAAGTCGAAATTTTCAAATGAGTTTTTCTCATGTTCCTGAGGGGGACCACGGTAGTGAGTTATTCCAATACCTTAAAAACGTAATATCTCAACAACAGGCTATGGGCACAAACCCTTTTAGGGCTCTTACCTACGCTATGAGTCCTACCTACAGGCAAAATATGAGCCCAAACCGAGAGTATCACTTGGGGAGGTTCCCTCGTTAGTGTGATGCAAAAAGTTTCCGATTGAAGCACTCAAATGCTTCAATGAATAAGAGTTTTTTAATGCCATTGGATAGAGCACTTTATGAACTACAGGCAACAATGAATTAAAACACAACAGCCCTTGTTTCCGTTTTTAAGTTAAATCAGTCCGAGAACTTTTTGAACGTAGGTATATTTGTCTTTAATCTGTTAGATAATTGTTTGAATAAAACATGAGCGATTAATTTACTCCATTTCAAAGTGATCAATTATTATCTTGTGTTACTAAAAGTCAGACATACAGAATCTACCCATGTGCGGCAACGGTTTTTCGGAAAAATTTTTGAAAATTTATTAGAATCTGGAGAAATTCAAAGTTGAATAGAATCTAAAAAAAATTTTTGACAAATATTTTCCTGTCATAGGTAAAAATTGTCAATTTTCGAAACAAATCTGGGCTTATTTCTATAGACATCAATAAAAGCTTCTACTTATCGTTTTTCTTTTCTTCTGATAAAATATTTGAAAGAGTCATCCGTGTCTTTATCATAGTGTCAGTATCGTCTATCTTTGTTTACGTTGATCATGCATCTTACTACTTGTTGCATTCTGTCTCTCGTGTATCTATTTATGATAGAAGGTGCACTATTTGAATTCTTCTCTGTTCTTTCTATATTATGTTCCTAATGTAATGCCACTCTTGCGATTTTTTCTCTGTTGCTATTGTATTTGCATATGCGTAGATAACTACTAGGATAACTAATAATTGTTCATCAGTGACCGGATCGATCCATTTTTCGTTGGTTCGAGTTGAGTTCGATTCGAATAACTCTAGTTCTACTTAAACCAAACGATATTAAATAGTAGTATTCTTTTTTTAATGCATATTTGCGGTATGTTAAATAGTGGAAGTTATTCTTTTTTTTGAGTAAACATCTTGAACGAGAAAACTCGTCTTTTAATTGAATTTTATATCGGGGAAAATTTTTTATTTTCTCGACAGATTGTGAATCCTTGCTAAAACTATTCGAATATGAACAAGAAAATAAACGATCAGATCAATATTTTTTCCTCTATTTATTCATTAAAAGGCAATCTAATTTAAATTGGTGTCTTATATTTAAATGAATAAAGGTATTTCTAATGTTTATGTTTGATCGACTTTTGAAAAAGAAAAGTTCACCAAGACTTGACATTTAAATAAATGATTTATTTTATTGTTTTCACCTCACATGAATGCTTGACATAATGAGCTCGTGGGAAAAAGTTTCGAATAATATCTATTGATTCATAGGATGGTTTGGATGTTAGTACTCTTCCTACTCTAGAACAATTGTCTCTTGCTTGTTGTTGGTTTTGATCGATTATTGTCAACAAAATATCCTTGTTAATAGCGAGTTCGATTAGAGATGGAAGATAAATTTGACAAAGAAATTGTTGGGCATAATCCATATGAATATCATATAAAATTAGTACAGTTAAATGAGCAAAGTCAATGTTAATTTTCTTTGTTGTCGTTTTTTCTTGTTGTTCAAGTTGATTAATTATCTCGAGCGTTCGAAGTCGAGGTAAAGCTCGAGCAACACGTTCAAAGAAAACACTTTCGAAAGGTTTGATATCATCAAAAAGTAGTAAGATAGTAACATTTGAAAATGTCTTATTAATGTCATAGAGTGGAAATCGATTTGAGACAAAATCAAGACGAGTACCAATAAATGGAATTGAATAGATTTGACATTGTCCATAGTTATTATTAAAATTATCGAGTACACAGTCAAATGGTTGTCGCTGTTTTAAAAAACTTTGACGAATTCGGTCAATTGTTATATGAGAAGCATTTTTTAATATTGAACGAATATGATAATTAAATTGACGTAAATGAGGCATATATCGAAGAATATTTTTCTCTAAGAAAAATCCATCAATAAAATATGAGGATACAATACCTTTTACATTTATAGCTAATAATAATGTTAAATATTCGACATTTACCAAACGTTGTAGAAGAAAAATAAATGGTTCATAGTTATTAAAATTACGATATATTGTCATTGTCATTTGTTTTAAATTAGGACACGAAATCTAAATGAGAATATTTATTGAAATGTTAAATCTTGAAATCTTACTTACCAATCTTATTTTAGGAATTAAATTAGGTTCTTCTTCAAAAATATCTCCTATAGTAACTGTGAATGAATAGAGTTGTGAGCCTAATTGATTTAGTAAATGAACGCATTGGTCAAAATGCCATAAAGATATACGAAGATGAGTTAGTCGAATTACTTGATCGAAGCGCAATTCATCATCGCCAAGTCTTTCGACTAAAATACCGTTATCATCAAGTTCGAACGATTCAATAGAACGCATAAATGATGAACGCCACAAGGCAGATAGTTTTTCACCAATAATATATTTGGGCAGTAGAAAATATTGAGGTACGATTGAGAAGAGAGGTTTGCACATTGCAAGGCTCTTCATCGGACGATTCACTAAAATATATGTGTACAGTGTTATTATATAATACAGGGTGGACCAAAAGTTGGTTTCCCGAAAACAAATTGAATATTTCCATTACGACTCGAGGAAATGAGCTGATTCTTTTATCAATGATAGAGACATATTCAAGCTTTATATATATATAAAGATATACATAGAGCCTTTATTAAGTATCACTATTGATCTCAACAAAAAAATTTTACTTTTTTCACAAATAGAAAAAGAAACAATATACTTAACAAAGGGTCTCTCTGCACATGTCTTTATGGATATAAAGCTTAAACATGCCTTCATCATTGATAAAAAAAATCAGCTCGTTTGCTCAAGCAGTAATGGAGATATTCAATTTTTTTTTTCGGGAAACCGACTTTTCGGCCATCCTGTATATCGTCAAGCTAGTTGTTTTCGATAGTCATCAATGAACAAATCGACAAGATTTTTACATATTTTACTCAAGCTATATGCTTATTATGAGAAAAGATTTTATATATTAAAAAATAAGTCAAACAATCTAGGAAGTATTTCACTCATTATTTTCAAGTGTAGTCTTTCTCTAAACAAAAGTACTGAATGAATTTATTTTCTCTAAAACATTAATAAAAGAATTTGACATTGTCAAATGATAAAACTTGACTTCTTTTCTCAGCAGAAAATAAACTAACGCAATATATAAATACAGTTTAGAAAAATCCAATCAATCATAATTTACTTGTATAAGGTATGCCTGTCTTAGCATGTTTAGCACCCAACATTATTTTCAAGTGTGTCAGATTTGGAAAAGTTCCATTAAAGTTATTTTTAACAAAAGTTTTAATATACGATATTTGATCAAGATTAATTGTTAATGATTGAATATGATGGCCGATACGAGGCATGACATGAGAATAAAATCGTCGAATAAATGGTCGATATGGTGTTCCAATATAATAGAAAGTTAAATCGATTGAATGACATCTATCAAATGCAAGTTCTTCTAAACGATGATTTCCAATATGAATCATAGAACAAAGTAATAGCACATGAGGATTAACTTTATTCATAATATATAATATTAACTCATCTGGTAAATCGATCAATTCAACAACATCTTTTAGGCACAAAAATCATTAAATTAATCATATTATAAAGTAAATACATACTCTTTTTTGATAAACAGTTCATTGTTGATATATATTAAGTTCATATAAACTAAAACTGATATATATGTATATATATGTAGAGTTATGTTTGATGAACATTGTCTAAATGATAGCCAATCATTGATAATTAATTATTATAACAAAGGAAAGATTATTTATAGAAAGAAAGATGTAAATCAACCAATTAGATTAAAGGTATTTTCATCGTGAAACATTATTTGTTGATTTAAAGCATGTCTAACCTTTAGAAGTAACAGTGGACTAATGACATAATTAAAAAATCGTGCGTGATAGAGCATTGTCCATAGTATTTGAAAAAATCGATTCGAAATCGTGTAAACAATGCTAATTACTAGTTTTTTATTTATCCTACTGATAGTATAAGAATAGACTAGTACACTCCTAGTTACAACATATTTAGATATGTTTTTATGGAACTCTTACTATATTTAGTTTATCCGTTCTTGAAAAGTTTCTATAAAACAGGATTAGAAATGAAAAATCTTTTTGCGAAAAACACGTATGTTTATCATATGTTTGAAGATATAAACATTAATATTAATTTAGATCTTTCTAGGATAAATTCAAACAATATCTATGAAATACATTATTTTGTTTTGAAATATTTCGTTTAACCTATTGAAATGTAATCTTGTGACAAAGAGGATTGTATATCATCAACATATTTCTATATATTTATTGTCTTGTTAAACATTATTTGTATTTATTTTAAGAAAATTTCATCGATTAGACTACGAAGAATTTTTGTTGATATTTCTATTGATATGTTATGTTTATTTGTTAGGATAGATTTAGATTTTCATTGTTGTTTAATGATTTTCACAATTCTTGTAGACATGAATGAAAACAATAAAAATATATTTAGATATTCTTTTGTCAATATATTCTCAATTTAGTTCGAAAAGAAAAACATATAATTTTATCTTATCTTTGTAAAGAAACAGTTTTATTAAATGAAGAAAAGTAATTCGTATGATTTGAAATGTAGTTTTTGTCGTTATCTTTCACGAACTCGGAATTTTAAATCGTATATATCTTGTTCAACATCAATACATATTCAAATTTAACTTTTACAAAAAAAAAGAACAATTAATTCTATGAACTGAATTTAATTATACAAATAAAATACTTAATCTTAATCTACAATAAATCTATACTCAAACAAATGTCTATTTAGTAAGTATATCTATTCAATTATTAATTAAACGATAAATTTATTTATCCTAATGTATTCGTTTCTATGTAGTCTATATATAAGAAAAAAAAAACATTCCATGAATAGATGATTTTCCTAGATGATATGATTTCTGTTGATATAACTTCAACTAAAATGATGTTTATTTCTACGATATGAAAATAACATATAATTATGGTTATATTGATCACTAATAATAATTTCAATGCTCTACTTTTCCTATAGAATATTGTTGCAAAATAGTCTAGTTTTATAGATCATACTATATCTTTATTTTGCTTTTCCCAATTATTTTAGGACAAACATTTTGAACTTTATTTGAAATAATGCTTATCCGTAATGTTTGTAAACAAAACAATAAAATCATTATTATTTTTTTATTTAGCAGATAACGTCAATTTATCTTACTTCTTTTTTTCATATTTCCATAGATAGAATACGATTGTATGTTAAGCTCTATCCAAAAATTCATTATAAAATTTCTCTTTTGAGTATGTTTTTATTAAAATGAATGTTAGATTGTCAAGAGTAATTCAACATATTCATAATTTAATTATTGAATATAAACTTGCTGTGAACAACCATTAGAAACAATTTTCATGTTACGCAGAGAAAAAAGTTAACATAGGAAAATGATTAAAAATTTCAAATGTGGACATGTCATATCGACTTGAGCGCGTAACGCGTAACTTCAAGAACCGGGAATTTGAAGTCATGATTTTTGAAACGTTTTATTGCCATCCTACAGAGCATGGTCTAAAGTGTAGGGAACCACATTTTGTTCTGTTAATAAGTGTTTTGAACCACATTTAGCAATTGCTAACAGAGGGGCCACTAATAGATAAAGAAAACGCCTCTATTCAGACATTTAGTTGTCTTAACCGATATTTTGAAACAGCTTGGTATATACGAAGTTGATTACGACTAATCAAGACTATGATAGCAGATGTATCTTTTCGCATAACAGCTGATTTCCTATGTGCCATACTTTTTTGTAGCGAGCTTAGGTAAAACTACCCTTTTTATAACGTTATCGCGTAACGAAAAATGACTTTTGTTTTTTTTCACCTGTTGGTCTTAACTTTTTTTTCACAAAAAATATATACCTAAAACTAGTTGTTTATGGGCTATCTAATGCATCTATTTTTATCTGAAAAAGATTTCATTATATAATAATTTTACTTAACGCGATGACGTTTTTTACGTTTTTTCTGCGTTTTTCGTATTAATGGAAAAATATTTTCAGATAGTGATTTATTATTCAAAAACCAGTGTAAGCTATCAGTGATGCATTTTTTATTGATTACTAACAAATTGTCATAAGAATATAGTTGATTGCTCTAATAAGTTGATCGTGTTCAATTAAAATTAAATTACCCAATCAAAATCACAGAGAAAAATGTATTTATATATAGAAAGACCATGTTTTATCAAATTATGCTTAAAAAATTATATTTTTATATATGTTTGGTTAATTATTTGTTCCTATTCTTCTTCATTCTGAATAATACTAATAGCTGTCTTTGTCTAGTAGTGTTTTACTTAAACAGTTAATAATTGTTTTATTTCGTACTCATTGTACATACACATTGTTACAAATATTAGTCAAACTAGGTAATTTTTTACGATTTTTTGCATTAGGAGGATCTAATAAACATAGCACTTAACATCTGTACATTTCAATGCTTGGGATAAAAATAATATCTTGTCGTTACACGGGTATAACATATAACGGAACGAAGCATAGAAAAAAAGTATTACAAAAGTCATCGTCATCGCGTTACGTTAATTAAACCGGTCTCTCTTTCAAATAAGAAGCCAATTCGAAGAATATTTTTTCATCGGATACGTCAAACTGTCAGCTACAAAACGTCCATAGAATGTTTCGTCTAATAAAGCGCACATTTGCAGAGAAATAAAGAACACCCACGTCACCCTCAACTTTTTGTCCTTTTTTCGTCATCATGTTACGTTATCTGTTTTTGCTATAATTCTCCAACGACTCATTCAAACGAGCTCATACTTTGAGAGACTTTGGGGAAGATGGAGATACATCTTCTAACGAAAGAACGAACTTACTATGTAATCTAATTGCTGAGAAAAGGTAATAATACTGTGGCCACAACGTCATCGCGTTACGCTTGCTCAAGCCGATATATATACATGTAATGCATTCGAACAATAAACGAACATCAATGACATTTAAGTTCACATATTTCAATTATTAGACAAATTTGTTATGCTAGCGAAGTTTTTTATTGAAATTGTTAGAAGATGAAAATGATCAAAAGACGTAGAAATTTATCTTCAAGCTCCTTGACAAAACATCGGAATAAGTTTGATATTTTTTATGCTGAAATTTATTGATATGTACGAGCAATGTCCACCATGATAGATGTTATGCGATACATTGATCGTCGTCGGTAGCTGGAGATTTTTGTTGAATTTTAAAAAAATTTGGTGCATTCCGAGAAATTTTGAAAAGAAAGAAAGAAAGAAAAGAGAGAGAGAGAAAACAACGGATAAGAACTTATTGATAAGTTCAGAGGTACAAATATCCCTGAAATTGATCCTGAATATGCTAAAATTTCTAAAATTAAGTATTTATTTTTATTTTGCAATGACGGTAGCTCAACCAATGAAGTAACATCTCTACCCATCAATCTACTAATTAGAAAATCCATGGACTTTCTAGATTTAAATAGAAGAAAAACCTATATATCTTCAATAATGAAAAGAAATCAAGCAAGCAATGACGATTGAACAACTTCTATGGAATTGTATACCGTTTGAATCGAAGAGTAAACTTGAAGCATGTTAATATAAGTGGAAATTAAGGACTTCAATAAAATCTATCAACAGAAGAAAGTATTAAATTGCTATATTTGCTTAGATCGTTTCAATTTCTTAATTTACAGCATAATTTTAAAAGTAAGAATGATATCATTCTGTTTCTGAAATAGTCAGGTAGAATTTAATGGAGTTGTCAATATCTGGATGGTGAGTAGATCTCAATATTTTTTATCTTATTTCAATTGATTTATTTTCAAATTCTAAAGCTTGAATAGAATTATTTTATTTAGTTTAAGTAAACATGTCACTATATCATTAAGTATAGTTGCACCTATTTCATTATTTAAATCAAATAAATGTTTTTCATAATTTTTCATTGGTAAAATAAATAATAACAACGATTTTTCATATTGAAATTTTTTTATAAAAAGATAAACGTAAAAGATGATAATTAATTCGAATATAAATTATATCTTGATTGACTAAAAATTGTAATAATTTAAAAGTATTTTGAATAATTTTATCATATTCTCGATTTTTTTTCATAAAATCAAAGTATCAGTTAAATAACATTGTGCAATATTACTTTTGATTTGTGAATAATGATCTTGATAAATTTGAATTGCTTTTAATAAACAATAAATATCTTTATCATAGAAATCTTTTTTCATATTAGAATAACATATTCCTAAATTACATAAACATTAAACATAATTTTGTTGATTAATTGGTAAATATATTTGAAAATTTTCAATTGGATTATTATATTGTTTTAATTTGACTATGTCCTAATTGCGACCAAAAATTAAGCCAATTAAGAAAAAAGTGGTCGCAATTAGGAACACAGAAATTTACGTTGATCTCATTTTTAATACGTTTCCGAATTGCGACCACTTTTAGTAATTAGTTATGCAGATAATAGATTATGAGTATCACTTTTGCACGTTCTTCTAATATGTTATGATATTCTTTCTCCGGTTACATTATACGTATTCCCTATTTGCCATCTCTATTTTCTTTCCACTCAATCAAATGCATTTTCCCACCTTAATATGCACTATTTGTGTTTCTATGATATCTTTCTTNNNNCAGATCAAAATTCAAAAATATAGCTTTGCTGCAAAAGTGGGGTGCTATAGAAAAAAGACACTAAAAACTCGATATCTCGTCAGAAACAAGCCAGGAGGACGAACTTTTTTTACCATAGACATAGCTCACTATAGGCTACAAGATGCGCAAAACTCCGACTGAAAAGCGCTCTGGCACCTGGGAAAGTTCCCTTGTAAGTAATCGATATATACTTGAGGTTGGATTATATATTGCTTTCTTTTGACAGATATTTATATAAGCACTATAAAATATAATAAATGGCGTGTATCACAATAAATTGGTTTAGAATCTATGAATACAATTCAATATGGTTTATTATTAGAGCATGATAAAGGACTTTTCATATAAATTGTATCAAGTGTTGTTTCAGTATCATTTAAATTTATTTCATTTGATATTAATCACTGCATTGGCAAAGAATATCAACAACAAAGCAATAAGACCTTCATAACCATACAAAATTCTAGGAAGACAAAAAAAACAGATTTATATTGTTTCTTAGTTTCTCAAATCAATTTTCATTTACTATGAAAATCATTCTAAAAATTTTATGTTATGGAAAAATAAATAATGACTTGCACATGGAATGCAATGTTGATAGCAGTGTGATAATTTATAGTGAATATATGATACAACTACGATAGTCTTGAATTAATTTCGATTTTTTTTTCTGTCACCGAGACTATTAAAATAAAATCGCTGAGTTTTAAAACAAGAGACTGTATGTTTTTAGAGTTCAGCAATTCAAATCCATAGAAAGCTCTCTAATTTCTAAAAATGACTCGTTATTCTTGGTATTTTAGTACAATAGACCAACGAGTTTTATATTTCAAAATATTTTTCAAAATTTTGAATTATTCAAAAGTCTTATCTATGTCTACCACACCCACAATATCCAAGAAAAATAAACATTTTTCTTTTAATTAGATTAAAGTTTTCATTATACCTATTTATTTCGATAAACTTAATTTAAAAAAATACCGGTGACATCATAAATGATAATAGTTTTTTATAAGTTACATTCTTAAACATTTGTGCATCAATCTTTGGTGTTATATTCATAGGACAACTGGCTTTCTTTTTATCCAATTACTTATAAAATCTTCTTTAATAATATCGTTTGATATTGTTATTGACAATAATATTTATAAAATTAATGGTAAATAGTTAGGTAATAACTGTTTATTTAATATTTATTCATCAAGTGTTAACATCATCTCAGTTTAGCGATAAATAATTAATTCAGATAAACTTAATACAGATATATATGATAATGTGAGAAATTTTTGAACTTGGACGTAAGTGAGGATGTAATAAGAAGGCAAATAGCCACACCCACACCCTCCTCATAAATTATAAAATTTTGTACTAATGAAAAATTGGATTAATAAATAGTTATTTAAACAATTCGTGTTGATTTATCGATGTATCGAGTATGACTTATAATAAATAAAATCTTTCTTTTTAATTTTTTTATTGATCTATTTAGATTAATTTTCCATCATCAAGTCCTGAACGAATGCATTTTTTTATATTCAAAAACAGTTTAACTGCGAAAAATAAAAAATAAATAGTTCAAAATATTTGAAATACTTCTTTGAATGGAATAGATATTCCTTTTCAAATGTCACTTAATAATGAAGTAAGTTTGAGAGTTGTTTATTTATTTTATTTTTTGCATAAACATTAAACTATTTAGTAAATTATATATTTAATACGATTTCAAGTTTATTTCTAAAATAATTTTAGGTTCAAGAATTACGTTCTCCACCTCGTGCATCAAGTGTTGTTAAAGATTGTATTCGTCATACATATGATTTCTTAGTTGTCAATTGTGATGAGGTTTATAAACGTGAATCAAAACAACAAGTGAATATAAATGAAAATAATAATGAACAAAATGAAGATGAAAGAAGCACAAGGAACAACAACAAATCGTATTGAACCAAGTCTTAAATGTTCACAATTTTGGAATCATTTTATGTATTTATTAACACGTATTATTAATGAAGATCGAGAAAGATATAATTTAGTTTTAAATCAGTAAGTCTTTTATTTTTTTTTATTAATTAATATAATTATTTTCATAATCTATATCGTTTTTATTTGGATTTCCATCGAAAGTATATGTTGGTCATATAAGTGCAGATGCTTTATGGAAATTATTTTCAGCTGATCTTTTAAAGAACATTTAGAAGGTAATTTTGTTTAATTTAATATTTTACAAACAATAAATATATGCATCTATTGTATTAAGTTTAATGTTAATTAAACAGTAATGATAGAAATATGATGATATTCTTATCTACATTTGAATTTAATAAAAATTATTTGAAATGTTTTTCATTGTGATTGCTAAATAGGATTCTCTTGCTTAGATATTTATTGTAAGTTATTAATGGAGTTAGGTTACTGTTGAAAGTAGCTAGAATCAATCATAAATTTAAACCTATAGAGTTTGAATTCCTTTTTAGTTTCTTTTCAATATTTTATTTAAAGAACCAATTCATTGAATTATTCCTTCATGGCTAGATACTTTTTGGCCCGATGAGCTCTCGTAGTATGCGTAATATGTATGGCGTGCTAATCATCAAATGAAAAAAAAATCGGAAAAATTATTTGGTATCTCCGAGAAAATCATTTAATATTGATTCGAAAGTTTCATTGAGATTATCAAGATATGATTCGATTTCAAAAAATTTTGTTGTTGGATTTGGACGTTCATTGGTTTTGTTAACTATTGATATATTCAAAAAAATAAAACATGTCCACATACTGAGCTTCTACTTCCTGCCGTGTTAACAAGAAAATTAAATAGTTCAACTAACAAAATGTATGAATATTACTAAACCTAAGACAAGTAAATGGTATAATATATACACAACCTAGATTTATCAATAAGAAAAAACAAAAAAAAATGTTTTCTAATTTATTTGGTTGAAGATGAGTTCTCCTTTCGTATAAGATCCAACTAATAGTAGAAAATTCTCGTTCTACGTTAGTTATCGTTGTCACAATAAACAAAATTGAACGACAGGTATCACCTTGTGTAACTTATTTTCAGTTTTTGACTCGCAAAGACAAAAAAATGAAAACTCTTTAAATTTGCAGGGTATGACGGTTTCACCCTGCCCTGTAAACATCCCTGATAGCTACCACAATGTTATTTGTTAGTTTTATTTTGACTTGCATTGAGATGATATATAAGAACTCTATTGATTAAAGTCAGTCATCTTCAGTTTACATCGTCATTTTTCTGCGATTTATACTACCTATTGTTCAAATTGGATTTCATTTTTATTTATTTAAAGAACATGCTCGAGTTCCAGCTAACCGTCGTGGAGTAAAAAGTGCTGATTATATAAATCTATATTTTAAGGTCAAAAAATTTTATAATACATCAGTTAAAATAATTCCAGAAGCAAAAAATATTGTCCCTGAATATCCCAAGTAAGTTAGTTTTTCGTTTTTTCCTTCTGGCTTAGAAATCTATTTTAAAAAAAAGAATACATAATCATCTACAGTTTCTACACAGCTAAAGAATTTAAACGGTATTAAATTGATTGATTCATTTTATCTGGCAATGCATGTTTAGCACGAAGATTTCGAAAAGATTTTATTTTTTCCTTGTTTATGAAATAAACTTTTTCTCTTTTTAAGATGGCTCGAACCATTTGTAATGCAATGGCTTAATGAATATGATGATATGTCAATGGAATATTTACATAATGCACTTGAAAAAGATCGGTAAACAGGAGTATGTTTAACATGCTCATTTGTTTTAAAGATGTAACTATATCAAAAGCTTTACTTGCTTATGCAGGAACATGTTGATGGAGAAGATCATATTTGTTTCATATTAATGAATAATATTCAACAATTAAGATTAAATTTAGAACAACTATATGAATTAATGAGTGATGGACAATTAGATGATGAAACCAAAGTTCGACTTACTGAATTACAAAAACAATTAAGTGATGTACTTGATGAATTAAGTACTATATTTGTTAAAAGTATTGAACCAATGGGAAATAATAGTGAACAACGAATAGGTGCTAAAGCTATGATTGTTACAAAATCATTATTGGATTATCTTGATCAAACGTACGAAAATTTCTAATGTTCTATTTTAATTGTGTTCACGAACTGTCCACATAACGGTTCACCTTTTTCGGCAAAATCAGAGAAACTACGATTAGCTCTCTGAAGAAATGAATATCAATCAAAATATGTTCATTTTTAAAAGCGTTATTCTGTTACGACAATTTTTTCTACATGTAAGACGAAGCTATCATATATTTTGAATTGTTTTTTTTTCTATGCATAGCTCATCATTTCAGCTACAACTTTTTTATATAAAATTTTTTAATCATACTCGTAGATAAGCTAAAAGTTTTAGTACTTCACATCTATCTTTTTCATCGAATCCGACTTCAGAGTTTTTTTTCTTTTGGACGAGTCCATGTCTATAAATAGATTTAACTTTGAACCCGATCTGTATTTAGCTTCGAATCTAAATAGTACTATGTGATGGAAGACGACAAGAGATAACTTTAAATTAACTCTTTTTCCCACAGTGACCAATAAATCACTGAAATCTTGATCCTTTATTTGATCATGTACACAAAAAATGCCTCGAGTTTAGATCTGATCGGGTTCGGATTCAAAAAAAAACGTGAACTCACAGGTTCCTACTAATAACATCACTAAAAAAATCATGGGTGATTTAGCATCGTCCTATTGTCTTTGAAAAAATCGATCCGGGATAGTGTAAATTTTGGTAATCGTTAGTTATTTCTTTATCCTACTGATAGTATAAAGTAGAGACTTGTCCATTCTTAGTTACGATATATGTAGATATGTTTTCCAGGAACTCTCACAATATTTTTGATTTAGCCGCTCTTGACAAGTTTCTATAAAACGCGATGATAAATGAGAAAAATCTTTTAAAAAAATAAATATTTTATCATATATTTGAAGATATAAACATGGATATTAAGTTAGATGTTCTTAGGAACAGTTGAAAGAATGTCTAGGAAATGTATTATTTTGTTTTTGACTATTGAAATGCGATCTTGTGATAAAAAATGATAGTATACATCAATATGTTTCTTTTCTTATTAAACATTATTTGTATTAATTTTAAGAAAATTCCATTCATTACACTACTAACAGTCTTTTCTCATTGTTCTTTAATCATTTTCACAATTATTATACACACAAATGAAAACAATAAAGATGTATTTAGATATTCTTTTTTCAATATATTCTCAATTTAGTTCTAAAAAATAATATAATCGAAGTATTATGTTCTCTTAGTTTTACAAAAAAAAATAGTTTTGCTAAATGAAACAAAGTAGTTTTAATCACTTGAAATGTAGCTTTTGTCGTCATCTTTGACGATTTCGGAATTGTTTAATTATATATCTATTGTTCAACATGAATACATATGGTTTTTTATTTATTAAAATTTTACTTTTACAAAAAAGAATAATTAATGCTATGATATCAATTTAGTTACAAATAAAAGACTTTTCTACAATAAAGGTATACAAATAGATATTTTTTGAATATAATGGACACTATGTATTAACTAAACGATAAATTCACTCATTCTAATGAATTCGTTTTTCTATGTAGTCTATATATGAAAAACAATTCTATGGATAGATTATTTTCATGGATAATATGATTTCTATTGATATCATCTCAACTAAAATAATGTTTATTTCTGCTATATGAAGCAAAGTTCGACTTGGGCCGGCAGAAAAATTTCTCGAGCTCAGGTCGGATTGGGTCACAAAAAAATTGGCCCATGTCGGACTCTGATACGAAAATAATAATATCTCATTGATTAAATTGATCGATAATAATTGAAATACGATATGAATACTCTGCTCTTATCATACAATATTGTTCATAAAGAGATAATTTCAAGACAAATATTTTGAACTGCATTTGAAATAATTCTTATCTGTAATGTTTGTAAAAAAATAGAGTAAAATTTTCTTTTTTTTTCATTTTACAGATTACGTTAATTTATCATACTATCTTGAGTGTGGGTGGTGTGGGTGTAGGTGTGGGTGTGGATGTCATTGCTGTCTTTAGTCATACCCACACCCACCCTTCAATCCTAAGAAAAAAACTGGCATAGAAAACGGGAAAAATTATATTGTTGCTATAGGATACTTCCGTGGGCAGTCAACCACAAAAACCACAAACTATTCAGAAAACTTTTCATTTTATCAGACTTTGTAGAACTATTTTTACTGATCATTTTGGTAAGAAAAACATTTTGGATTTATTTGAGAAATGACTGTATTATAGTCAAAATATAAAATACTGTGAAATATCGGGTGTTTCAAAATGTTTTCAATATAGTTTGTTTTGCGAATATCTCTGCACAGACATATGATAAAATCTTTATTTTTTTCAAAAGATAAGTCGTCAAAATCTCTATAAAAGCCGTACAAACAAATTTCTATTGCACAACAAAAAGTCTTCTGAACATTTTGATTATCACTTTGCAGTTTCTTATGTCATTTTTTTCTTAGGACTGTAGATTTTTGTTTTTATTGTATTGTTATATGCAAGAATTTTTCCGTATTAAATGGATGTATATATAAATATATAGTCGTTGATCTCTACTATACAGAAATCGAATGAAATAAAATAAATGTTGTATAGTTTTAACAGATAAGTGAAAATAAAAAAATGGTAGGAGACTGTTAATGTTGACGGTAAAATAAAATAATACCTGATATATAGGTTCTTGAAATGAAACAGCATGATTAAGTAATAAACTTTTATTTGGTTGACCTTTAACAATCATTGATGAATTAGCAAGTTGATCACAAAGTATTTTAGGATCATCATATGTAAACATATCATTTAATAAATAATTATGAGGACGAATGCATCATGATCCATGCATTTTTTGTGCTAAACAACTTTTAGTTTTAATTAATTGAATAAATTCTTGAAGTTGTGTTATCTCTTTTTGTTTTTTAAATAATTTTGTTAAGATCATCAACAATATTTCCAGTTGTTCCATAAGCAACATATCTTAAACAAAAAAAAAATAAATTATTAATAAAATAATATGTTAAATAATAATAAAAACCCCGTCTAAATTCGTTTCCAATGTTGTTCAACAGCTGATTGACCTTGTGTTTTGTAAATGTGATCAAGATATTGTCGAACATCACCACATGTATACTTTCCATGTTCATTTAAAATTATTATCAATTGATATATGAAGAAGAGAAAATTTTGGATTTAAATTATATCGTTCAAGAATATTTCTTTAATCAGCATGTTCAGCAGGTGATGTTGTTTCGAGCCACTAACAATAAAATAGATTACAATAGAATTATTAAAAAACAAAAAAGCAAATTTAAATAAGATAAACAATTTTTATAAAATGTTAGTTATTTCGATGTACGTATTTTCGAAATATTATCAGCAGATTTATTTATAAAACTATTGATTATAAGATACGAAATCATTTTGTTAACGTCAGTATATTATCCAGAAAACAGGAAACATACAGACACGAAATGATCGTCTAAGAAGATGCATACTATTCAACTTTGGCAAAAGATTCATTCTTTTTACGCTTAAATTATTCTTTTTTTCCGAAAAAAAATTGTAGAAGAAAAAGAAAATGGTTTCATCGTTGTCTTTTAATAATTAGTTTATAAACGATTCGAGCTGAGGAAAGAACTAATCAAAGTATTATCCGTTATTTAATATTATATTTGACATTGAAGATTAACTTGGTGAGACAATCAAGTATGTGAAAGATTTTATTTCTGTCAATGTTTCGATCGAGATTTCTATATATAAATAAAATAATAAAAACACATAATCTCAACGTAAAAATTTTGCCATTAGATAAATCGAATGATTTTAATAGAATATTCTAAAATTTTTCTCGTAAAATAATTTTGTTTTCTTTTTATATTCTATTTTCTAATAAACTCGTTTTTATTTTTTTTTTTTGTAATACGTTTAACAATCGTCAATCGATTATTAAATATGGTATAGATTTGACGTTGAAATTCAATAAAATGATGGTAACTCGTCTCGAGAGTCTAATCGAAAAAAAATCATTTTAGAGTTCCTCGATTATTATCGAGAATTGATTATAACTCGAAAACGATTTCAAATGTTGTTTATCATTTCCAATGATTCGTTCGTCAGAAAAGTGAATGTTGTCTTTTGTCTTTCATTTCCAACATTTTTTAAAAATTTTTATCACGTTCTTGATAGAAAAACATTGAAATAATAAATTATTTAGCAAAAAAATGTTGTTTTGTATTTTTTGTAAATAAGTAATAGATAAAAAATATATTCTAAATGAAATGAAAAGGTTGAAAAATAAACTTACAAGTGTATAACCAAGAATTTCTGGCTGAAATGTTTTTGGAAAAAGTGATGTTGTTGATGTTAAAAGAGCTTCTTTAAAACTAATATCAAGAATTGATTGTTGATTAACAAATTCTCTTGAATAAATTGATGGAACATGAATAGAAAGACTTTTGAGAACATTTAAATAAATATTTGGATGATTTTGTTGATGATCTCCATTACTTATTTCATCAATATAAATCGGAAATACTTTTGATTGTATTGATGGCATAGGTCCATGTTGAATTCTACTTAGCCAAATTCGATCTGTTAAATGATATAGTTCTTGTTGAATTAAATATGTTGTTAAATGAATTTTAGTTTGTGCCCATCAATAGTGTGATTCAGGCGAAACTGGTTGACCAGCATCACACCTTTTAATAAACATATTTTAGACAAAAAAACAAAATTTCTTTTTTTAGTTTGTAATTATTCTTACAATCAAGATATTTTTCTTTAAATAATCTTTGAAAAATCTAATCTAATCTTTGATTAACTTTATCTTTACCATATTTAATATAAATAAAATGATCTGAAAAATCTTGATTATCATAATGATCATTAATCATATATTGAACAGTTTCATAATGCATTCACTCACTAAATTCTAAATAAAAAACAACAAAATAATTAATATATATTATTTTCAAATATTTATTTTGTTTTATTTAATAAAAACCTTTAGCAAGATGAACTTTGTCAATGTTAAATTCCGGATTAATAAAAAAATGAAAAAGATCTCGATATGAATCAGAGGTCTAAGCAGGCCTACTTTTTTAAGGCCTGACCTGCCTGCGCCTGTCATTTTCTTCGGCCTGCCTGTCTACTTTTCTTTTGGTTTAATATCATGATAATAATAAAATATATTCAACTGTTAATCTTTATAGGGAGTTCAACACGTCAATGGAATGACTTCAGATGATCCAAATGGAAATTCTCTAATGTGAACATCAAAGAAAATAGTTTAAAGCGCTTAATATACAGAAGTATTATTTTCTTGCATTTCCATTATATCACGTGAGGTTAAGAGCAGGAAAAAAGTTAACTTCAGAAAGTTTATTGTAGCAAAAAGTATTTATGTTTCACGAAAAGAAGACTTCAACCCAAAAGTAATCGATTTTGAACAGAAACGCTCAGCATGAGCCTAGGTTGTTCTTGATAACGAGATGTTATTATTGCTGGGATGTCGAAAGTGTAAGGTTTTACCCGGCATTTAATATATATACATTGCAAAATGTTGGTATATTGGAAAATAAAAGAATAGAAAAGCATTTCTATTGACGAAAACAATCAGTTTTTTGTTGCAAAACATTTTAAAATGATCCAAAAGATAAAATGTCCCTCTTATTAATACATTCAAGAGAATTCGTATGCAACAATTACGAAACCTGAAGCAGAAAAAAGATGGTTCAGCATCAACTGAGCTAGCTAGGGTTCAAAATGAATGAAAAAAAATAATGAAAAATATCGAGGAGTGGTCCATACTTGATAAGATCGAAAAATTATTCCTGAAGCATAACGCTGAATATTTTCGACTGAAATTTCATAGATTTTGACTAGAAAAACTATAATTTGATTAAAAATAAATCGTATTATTCTTGCTAAAGCGATGTTTAGATGTTTTTCATATAAATCATTATCTGTTCTGGTGTAATTATGCAGTAATAGAAGCATTTCTCACTCATGAAACCATTTTGACATGTGATCCATTTTGTCAATTAGAAAAAGTTTTAATATTCACATGAACCAAGTCGATGTTTAAATACTAATTCATAACCTGATTTTTATTTTTATTCAAACCGTATTTTTTCTCATCGAAACTAACAAAATATTAGTCAAGTACATCTTAAATATCATGTTCCGGAAACAATATTCCTTGGACGCTTTTCAGTGATCAGTGTTTTTCTTTGATGTTTCAGAAGAATTTGTCGTGCAAAAAACCCATATCAAATATATTACAACTTGCGTGATCGACTAGTATAAAGAAAGTTACATAGACCTGATTATCATTAATGCTCAAATATAATATGCATTGGGATTATTTACTACTATCCGTTTCAAAATAGAACACGGATGAAAAAAACTGTACTAACTCCGAAACGGAATAAACTAGCGAGAAGTGTTTTTTTGCATTCGAAAGAGAACTCTGGGAGACATCGAAAAATCATGAAAAAGAAAAGTTATTTTTTATTTTGCTGGTTTTCCAAAAGGGTTTTCTGAAAACTTTCAGGTTTTGGGGGAGAAGGAGTATTGATTTTTCATGTTTGAGACCTGCAATTGATAGCAGGGACGTTTTACTACATTTCCACACNAACTCACATAGCTCTATTTTTTGTCTAGTGCACTGTCAACAAAATTATTTTTAAATAGATGTATTCATTGGACCGAAAGTTATTCCACTTACAATATTCTCATTCTTTCTTTACTTCGGAAAAAGAGGTGTTCACAGGGCTAAGCAAGGTCTTTATGTTCTATGACACTTTGTAAAAACTGGAAAAGCAGGTTTTCGATTTTTCTTCCTGAAGAAGAATGCCTTTTCAGACTATTATTCAAATTTTTTCGCTGTAGATCTATATCCGACTGACTATGATAAAAACAAAAAATATATAAAATAACTATTGAAAATTTGTATCTGTGTATCTTATTCTTGTTCTTGTCCACATTCATATTCTGAGGATAATAATTTTTGAAAACTTTAAAAAATTCTCATGCATTTTAGTGGCGGTCTTATATATACATCTGCTTCGAATCATTTCACTCGCACATTTTTTTGGTCAAAAGTCTCGCGTCGAATTTTCTGCAACAAACTATTTAATTACACATTTGAAAGGTAAAAAAAAATTCCTGTGGAGTGAAAATGTAAAGCACGATGATCTATCTTTGGTGATTTAAAGGAAATTCTTTGAATCTATTTATTTCACTGAGCATTTTTAAACAATGCTTTCAGTAATTTCTTCAGAATAGGAGTTAATAACTGTTCGTGATATTAACATAATTGATATGCTGCACTCTGTAATCGTATATCAGTAATGTTTGTCAAAATTTATGAATGGTAGAGAGATGGTTTACTGTTATCAATATACTAGACAAGATAGATGCCTTTCATTGTATAAAGCATAAACGTTAAAGACACATTCATGAATAAGGTATTCATTTCTATCAGATATATCTCAAGAATACTCTTAAGTTGTCTTTCGCAAAAAGCATGACATGATAGATTCGTTCACCTTCAGCAGCTACTTATTTGATGCATCGTTTTACAAAAACACTCATGTTCTTCAACGAAAACAGTGAGCGTAATTCACACTTGTATGTTGCCATTAGATTTTTCATTATGCGGAACTTAACAAGTTAGTTGATACGATTAGTGCATATGTCCCTATTGGTGACACATTCTGCCAACATCTCTGTAGAATTGAATATTGGAATTTTGTTCAATTTAATTTGATCTTGATCGCTGATTTATTTCGGTATATCTTCGTCTCGTAGAAAAGCAAGAAATAATCCAAATAACTCTCGCATATTCAATTGATTTATCTGTGTGTAGCTGTGTGTGGAAGACAAAAGTATCAGTGAATCGTCAATAGATCAGCAATGTCACGCTTTTATGGCAATCTGCGAGTTCATAACTAGTGATATATTTTATTTTAGTGTGCAGCAATGATATTTCATTGGAATGTTCATTGGTTGCTCTTCTACTTGATGTTCGGAAAATTGAATATATCTTATGTAATATCGACTTGGCCGCTGTTAAACTCTTCGAACATTCAAGTATTAGGCCTTTTTGATAATATACCAAACACATTTGAATCTAGCGAAATCTATATTCATAGTCGAGCTATGTTTAGAGCAGCTATAGTACTTTCTCGACAATACAATATAACAATAAATGGACAATTCATAGGATGGCAATTAGAAGAAACTAATGGCAATATAATTAATGCTCTTAGCAAATCATGTCAAGCAGTGTCTCGTTCAAATATTGTTGGTATTATTGGTCCAGGATTATCAAGAGAAGCTCATTTAATAGCTGATTTTGGTAAAACCATAGGTATACCTGTTATATCGTTTAGTGTAACTGATCCTGATTTATCTGATCACGATGCTTATCCAAATTTTTATCGTATAGTTCCTTCAGATAATTCAAGAGCATTAGCAATTGTAAAATTATTTCATCTATTCAATTGGACATCATGTATACTTATCTATCAAAATGATGCATTCGGATCTGGAGCAGCTAAACGAATAGATGAAGCATTTAATAATAATAATTTAACAATTGAAAAATTCATAATATTTGATATTAATACACTGCGTATTCGAGGTGATTTGAAAACATACTTAACAAATAGTGCAACTCGAATTGTTATTGTATGGGTTCAATCGAATTATATATCTATTGTTTTAAAAACAGCTCTTCAAGCTGATGTATTGGGTCCATTATTTACATGGATATTAAGTTCAAGTATTTCATTAAACTCTTTTAATAAAAGATATCATGATAAATTAGTTGGACTATTTTCAATTGAACCTATTACAGCAAATATTGTTAATGCATCAATTAATACAACGTTATTAAAAGCTGCATATAGGGTTTGGAAACAATTTGAACCAGAATCATATCCTGGAAAGGCACAAGTAAATTCCTATTCATTATTTGCATTTGATGCAACATGGTCATTAATTCTATCATTAGAAAAACTTTGTTCAACAATAACAAATAATTCTTCTTCATGTTTATCATTTGTCGAATCTTCATATTGCTTTGATCGTCATTTTGTTCATTCAGATCTATTACTAAATGTACTTAGTACAACAGATTTTCTTGGTGTATCTGGTCCTATAAAATTCATTGTTAACGTAACAGATCGAATCAATGGTTCTTATTATTATGCGCAAAATGTTCAATATTCTTCAAATGGTATAAGTTTGGTACCAGTATTGCAATATTCTGATTCAAGTGATTGGACAATGTTTCATGGATCAAGTGTTATAATTTGGCCATACAATTCATTAGTAGTTCCATCTGGTCGAGCAACACTTAAAGGTGTACATTTACGAATAGGTGTTATCGAATCAGCCCCATTCACAATGAAAAGAAATATTACTAGTAAATTCGAAGAGAAAAAAGAACAACTAATTGGTTATGTACCTGATCTGATTAAACTGTTAGAAAATCGAATTGGATTTATTCCAAATATTCAAATAGCACCATCAGATGGAAGATACAAT